TATAATAATGACAACGACGGTCAACACTTTTTAGGGCAGATTGCACAGGGGTGGGCAAAGTAGGTTTACAGCTGTTCGTATGGAAAGAGACATGCAGGTTATGGTAGCCACACCAGCCTTGTTAACTCCGTGTTTCACGTACACCTCCGTTTGCCCACCTCTGCATATGCGGTAGCCAACCCCTAAGGTGGCTCCCAAGGACCTCCGCCTTCTGTGTAGTCGTGACCAATGACATACAGCGGAAGTAACAGTACATATGTCACTTCTGGGTTTAGGCTTTAAAAAGCATTGAGGCTTCCGTCTTAGGTGCCTGCCCTTGCTGTGAGAAACCCCATGGTGAGCAGTCACGGGAGTGAGCTCGGAAGATCTACAGCCCCGGACAAGTCTTCTGAGATTGCAGCTCAGCTGATAGCGGACTGCAACTTCCTGAGAGACCCTGAGCCAGAACCGCCTGGCTAAGCCACTCCCAGATTCCTGAGCCTCAGAAACTGAGATAATAAATGTTCCTTGTTTTTAACTAGTGACGTTTGGAGTCATTTGTTACGCAGCAAAAGGTAACGAATGTATCAAGATATAATGTAATGCAATGCAAGTTCCCCAGGTCAGTGATTTGAGGCAGGAACCCATTTTACAGAAAGGCAAACTGAAGCACAGAAAGAGTCCTTGCTCTAATCACCCTATTAGCAAGCAGAGGTGGTTCTGAATCCCAAGCCCTTGCTCCTACTATGGCAGGAGCTGGGCTGAGCCGGCCTGGCTTTATTATTCCCTCTTATTTAACCCTCCCCTGAGAGTGAGGCGGAGGAGATCATTCCAGGGAAAACCAACAGCCAACACGTGCAGGATGCCTACAAGTTAACAAGACACTAACGTCGCACTTACCTGTGAGGTAGGCAGGGAAGCGTTCGTTTTCTCATGCCTAAGCTAGAGCTAGGCAAACCAAGGCTCAGAGGGAGTAAGGGCTTTGACCAAAGTTGAACTAACTCAGGAGTGGGGGGAGGGTGGCGTTTAGGCTTGAATCTTCCTCATCTCTTTCCAACCAATCAGGCTACTCCTGAACCTAATTAATGGGGGTGGGGGGTATGTTTTCTGAAGCTGCAGAAGGACCTCCCCACACCCATTCCAGGAGAGTGTGTGTGTGTGTGTGTGTGTGTGTGTGTGTGTGTGGCCAGAAAGGGGGTATTCATTGGGGACCCTGGAAACTGCTCCATCCGTTCCATGCAAGGAAAAGGCAGGGAAAGCCCTCCCTCTCACCACCCTCTCCCTTTCTGTAAGATGCGCTCCCCTCCCCCTCCTCCCTTCCCCCTCCCCCCAGGACAGAGAGGGCTCAGGAATGCTGCCCGCTCTGGGAGTCCCAGCCCTCTGGTCTTTTATCCTAAATGCAGCACCAATTCTTTCCCTCCCAGCAAGTCAAGTAAGAACCTTTTGGCCACCCCTCCCAGTTCTAACTCTTCACTGGGGCTCTCCTCCCATGGATTAAGCTGCAACTACTAACAGCTGAGCTCTTTTCTTGACAAAAGCAAACAAAATCGCCTTTGAAAACAGCAAGAGGGGTTGGAGTTAGAGCTGAGAGGGGACTTCCAAACGGACCCCTTGGAGCAGATGGTCAAGAGAAGCTGTGGGGGGTCTACTCTTTCTTGACGATCCCGCTGGGAAGTATCTCTGCCTGAGCAGGACTGGGGCTGGGGCTGGGGCTGGGGCTGGCAGGAATGTTTGGGACCATGACTGTTTGTGATGCAACCGGCCGGGGCGGAAGCTGCCGTTGTCCCTCTGAGAATCAGGTAGACCAGATGACCTGACAAAGTTTTCGAGGGTTCCTGTCGCCTCTGGTCTCCTCTGAAGGAGAACAACTCTGCCACCTGTTTTAAGGGAGATCAGAGGAGGGTGGCTGCCTTCTGAGTCAGTCACGGAGCCTGAAGACCAACCGGACTTCAAAAGCAGAGTCCACGCAGGAGGCTGTGGCCAGTGTGTGAGTCAGCCCGGCCGGCTGCAGGGGGGGCTGGAATGTCTGCGGTGGTCTGCCGGCGGGGGGCGGGGGGGGGGGCAGTGACTCACCACCTGGAGCTGGAAGTCAGTAAACCCCCAGCCTTTCCTGCCGTTCCAGTTCTCATTCCTGGGGCTTCAACCAAGAAGCCAGAGGGTATGAGAAGCAGGACCCTGGGTTCTCTTGCAACAGTCCTGCCATCACCCCTTCCTGCACACATTCCTCACTCCGGGAACTCCTTGGGCAGCCCCACCCCCACCCCCCAACTCATTCTAACTGTCTGGGCCCTCAGCCTTCCTATCTGGGCGTTGGGCTGGTTGGAGGGGGTCCTCTCTGACCCCTCACATCCTGGAAATAGACTGGGGCTCTGCCACCTCCTGAGCTTCCCCTCCCCACCCCGCCCACACTGCACTGAATTCTGCACACCGGGGCCCCAGGGCGCGTCTCTCACTGTGGCATGAATGGACTGGCCAAGTTGCCAGTGGGGTTTATTGAACGAATTTGATCAAGTCCAGAAGGCCCTTTTCATCCCCAGAAACTTGTCAAGGCCGCATTTGCCATTCCCTGGCCTCCCAATATGCCCTGGGGGTGGGGGGAAGTTCCCCTGGGAGTTTGGCATTTTCTCTGATCTCCTTCCCTGGTCCTCCCCACATCCCTCTCCCGGCAAGGGCCTGGGCCACATTCTCCCTGTCTGTCCACCGCACTGCATGGCATGAGAGCCAGAGATCAAAGGAGACAGGGAGGGGGGCTGCAGAAAGGTCTCCTCCAAGAGGGGGTAGGTGGGACTGAAAGCACAACTGGGCCCTGGTCAGTGTGGCTCTGTCAGTTGGAGCGTCATTCCCTGCACCGAAGGGTTGCGGGTTCGATCCCCCAGTTGGGACCCATATGGGAGGCAACCAATTGATGCTTCTCTCTCACATTGATGTTTTTCTCTCTCTCCCCCTTCTCCTTTCCTCTCTCTAAAATCAATAAAAAGCATATCCTTGGGTGAGGATTCAAAAAAAAAAAAAAGCACAACTGGCCTGAGCAGCCCACCCCCCAAAAACACATCCACAGCAAACAAGGCGGGGCTTGCGGCTGCCAGGACCCATCACAGAACCTTCCTGACTCTGGTTTTGGCATCCAACTAGGAAACGATGCCCACCCTTCTTGGATATCCTCTGCCTCTGGGGTCTTGACACAAACCCATTCAGTGTGTTGTTCAACAGGAAGCAGGATCACAAGCAGCCCCCACATAACCTCTGGAGGCCGAGTCTGAATGGATGTCTCATCTCTGCCGGTTGGTCGCTGGGAGATGGGGTTGGGAGAGCTTGCCCAGAGCGCAGTTCCTCTCGGTGGTGGGAGATGGGTGGTGGGCGGACAAGGTTTCTAGGAAGCAGAGGTGAGTGGCCCTCCTGGCCCAGTTACCTCTCATCCCACACAAGCACTTAACCTCACGCTGAAGCTGCCCCAGGCAGGGGCGTTCACCTGGAAAGTGGCCTTTACGAGGCCCTGGGGCTACCAGGCAGAAGGGAGGGGGAGGGGCGCGCTCAGTGGTGATGGCTCCCAGTACCCATGGCAAGTGGAGAAGGGAGAGCCAGGAAAGAAGGCTTTGGGGACCTACCCAAAATGCAGTCTGAGTTCTGGGCTTGCTAGGCTGAGCCCCTGTGGACAGAGCCATGCGCCAAGGACTTGGAAAGAGGCAGAGGGAGCACCCCAGTGAGTCTTCGGTCTGAGGGGCAGACCCAGCCTCAGCCTCAGGATGCCTCTGGAAGACGGAGAAGGTACAGCCCCTGCCCACACACCTGGTTCACACCCCTGCGCTCAGAGAGCCCCCTGTCTGTCAGGGAGACAGCCCCAGGCCTGGAGAGCCCTCCCGTCCGAAGGATCGGCTCAGCATGGCCTCAGGGTCCCCAGTCTGACGGCAGAGACAGGTCCACAGACTTCTCTTGGATAGGAGATGGGGCATTTGAAGAGACAGGATTAGATCTCAAAAACCTTTATAGATAATAGAGTTGTAGCTGCTCCATCTCCCTGTAAGTTCCCACGGGGTAAGTGGGCCTCCTTTGCTGCTCTCCCCTGCCCCCAAGAAGAAAGCCAGCTTGAGTGTAAGTGCTCAGCTCCCCCACCTCCACCAGGGAACCTCCATCCTTCCCATTCCCTCCGTCCACCGCCCTGATGTCCCAGTCTCCCCCCAGCCAGCTGGGACACCCTCCTATGTATTATATCGCAATGGGGACACTGCCACATGGCCAACGCTGTAGGCCACTAGCCAGAGCTGGGGTTCAAATGGCTTCACCCCACCCTCTCCCACCCAATAGTAGCCTATTGCCTTTGAGAGTGTCTTCCTTCCCCAGCTAGCGCCACCCTCCCCAAGTCTGCCCTCCCTGAGGGCACCCGTTCTAACTGAGGACACCAGCAAAAGAAATGGAGGGATAGGGGGGTAGAAGAATACTGGACCCTGGGCCCAAAAGGGAGGAGGGGGAAGTACAAAGGGGGCACTTAAGGCACCTACCCGTGGGCAGGCTCCAGACAGCGCTGGATAGACCCAAATGTTAATCACCAATTAGCACAGTTCAGGTGGAAAGGGAAACTTTATTGCGTGTAAAATGGACTTAATGTGGCAGGAGCTGTGGCTTAATTTCTTGAGATAAGATGCTTTTAGGCTAATCAGAGGGTCTGCGGGGCCTGGATATAAAGGCAGTGCGGCGGGCAGAAGTCACTGAGGCAGGCTCCGCAGGGCCAGAAGCAAGAGGAAGAGACCCGCTGCCCTTCTGGGAGCCGGAAAGGACAACTGGTAAGAGAGCAGCTGGGACAGGGGCGCTGGAGGGAGGTGGACCGGGGACCCCGAGGGGCTCAGCACCCTGGCACCCCGTTGCTTTTCCTCCCCATAGGAAATAAGTCGGGGGTGCTGATGGCCCTTTAAGCCCCAGGTGACGAAGGCAGGGAGGTGAGGTCTTGCAGCCGCACACGCACATGTCTAGCCTCGCTTTGGTTTTTAGGGCCTGGGAGGAAGGTGACTTATGTTCTTCCTGTACTGATGGACCCCCCTCCCCCGGACGAAGCCGGGGGCCAGGCCTGGGTAGAGGGGTCAGACCTCAGAAAGAACTTCCCTGGGAGAAGAGTGAAGTCGGAGAAGGCAGAAGGGGATGGTTCCTCGTGTGGTTTACACTTGGGCGAGAGGGCTGTGATGATTTAGGTGACAAGCCAGTTTGAGAGCCGGGAGCTGGCTGGTATGAACTCTGGAGGGCTCCGAGGGGAGAATCCTGCCAAACCACATGCCTATGATGTCTAGCCACTGAGCCGGGAAGGGGGGCTGACCAGGCACACAGGTCCCGCTGCTTTCTCCTGCCTGGAGCACCCCCACCCCCCGCCCCTCAGACTCCACTTAAACACAAAACAAAAAGAAGGCTCACCTCTCGGCCAGACTCCTTGTTCCTTCTAGTTACTACCTGTACTGCCCATGCCCTCCCCACCGTCCCTAACATCCTGCTCCGGCCTCTTAGAAAAACTCCAAACCACAGGACTCAGTGCCCCCCAGCTTTCAGCACCCCCACGGCTCTGAGGCATGCTGACTGCTCCCTCGGACCGTGCTTCCCCCTCATCCTGCTCCTGCTCTCTCTTAGCTCAGGAATAACCCTTGGAAGACGGTGGCCATGAAGATCTCTCTGCTGCTGGTGTCCCTGCTCCTGGCAGTGGTGCTAGGAGACAAGGAAGAGAGTCATTCCAGGTGGGGAGAGGAGGGAGGGGCCCGCTGCTGAGGAGGGGGCTGGGGGAGGACAGGGCTCTGGTCTGGGCGGCGAGAGAAAGGAAGGAATCCTGGGCCAAGAGGAAAGAAGCTCCAGGGGAAAACCTGCCACCAGCCGTCTGAGTGCAGAGCGAGGGCAGAGCAGAGAGTATTTCTCAGGAGCTACTGGTTAGGCCTCTGGCAGGCCTTCTCAGTGGCTGAGCATCTGACACAGATGACATCTCCCTTAACCATTCATTCAGGCAAGCCTTGGCTCACTAACTTGATAAAGGACCTACCCCCCCCCCCGACCCCCCACCCCCACCCCGTGTACAGGTGCAGGAGATATATGTGCAGAGTGGTCCACAAAGCCCTCCTGCCCTCATGGCGCGCACAGGGCCAAAGGGAAAACAGACAAAGAACCACCGAGGCGAGCTGCAAACTGTCATCAGTTCTGTGAGGAAAAGCAGAGAGTGCGAGGAACGAGCACAGCGGGGGGCTCTGTGTTTTGGGGACCAAGAGAGACCTACCTCAGGAAAGAGTTGGGCGTTCTTGGGTGCAAGGACAGCTCCATGCTCACGTAAATCCAGTGATGTAAATCTGAGGCACGGCTGTCAGAGACATGTACAAGGAGAGACATCACGCAGAAGCTAAGAACGCAGACCTGGGCCCAGACCGCCTGGGGCGGACCCTGGATCTGCCGCCTATGCTGTGTGCTAAATGAATCTCTCTGCTCCCTGGTGTCCTCATTCACAAAAAGCGGGTATGGCTAGCGTCTGCCTGCTAGGGGTGTTGTGAGGACTGAATGAGTGTATGTATTAAAGGGCTATTCAAGGCCCTGCCTCATGCATAAGAGCTCACTACTATCAGTAGTGACTGGGAACCAAAGACCTAAACCAGGTGTGGCCAGGGCGAGAGGAGTCAAGGGAGGCACTGGGAGCCAGTCCTTGGGGATCAGGGGCCCTCTGATCCCTCTTCGCCCAGAAGCCAGAGCCACACACACTAACGATGCAGGAAGTGGGCTTTTCAGCTGGAAATAAAGTCCAAGGGGCTCAACGCAGAGCCAAGAGGGTGTCTCCACAGAAACGGACTCCCCGGAAATGGGCTGGTTCATTTTTACATGTTGGCCTCCTGTCAGCGACAGTCATGTATGCCGGGATGGTGAACCCCCTCAACCCTGCCCCTTCACGGCACCCTGGTTTCTCTCCCCTCCCCGCCCCGCAGAGTCCATGCGAAGGTCAGAGGCTCTACACCTCGAGGCCGCAGGTATGCCGAGGGGACTTTCATCAGTGACTACAGTATCGCCATGGACAAGATCCGCCAACAAGACTTCGTGGACTGGCTGCTGGCACAGAAGGGGAAGAAGAATGAGTGAGTCATCCCGCCAGCCCCTCCCGTCCCCGGCCTCCGGCTCCCGTCCTGCATTCAGACCAGGCGCCATCGTGGCCCCACAGGGCCCTGCGATGCACAACTCCAGGTGGCGCCTCTCACCGAGGCGACGATAGGGAGCTGGACCGCGTGGCGGCCCTGCTTTGGGCAGCCGTCCAGTGTGGGGGCAGGACCAGGGCAACTTCGCAATCCTTTTCTCCTGAGGGGAAGGGTCGGTGAAGATGTGTGGGGCTCACCGAGGATTCCCAGGAGGCCGGGGATGAAGGCAGGGGAAGCTGAGCCGCTGCCAATGACTTTTTGGGGGTGGCCTCTTCAGACTTTGGAAATAGAATAAACTGTCCTCGTCCTACTTCCTTCTCTTTGCCAAATCTCTCCCTGCCCTTGCTGTTTGGTCAGCCTGGTAGGTTCTGGAAAGCTGTTCACCAGCAGCTGAAGACAAGCGGTCAGGAGGTTGAGGGAAGAAAGGGGTACCCTCTGTTCTGCCACCCACTCCCTAATCCTTATCTTACCAGCTGGAAACACAACATCACTCAGAGGGAGGCCCAGGCCCTAGAGCTGGCCCATCAATCTAACAGGAAGAAGGAGGCCAGGGAGCAGCAGGGGTGAGTCAGCCCACAGGGGAAGGAGGGTGTGGGGCCTCCTGACCCACCCCCACCTCATTGTTCCCTCTCCCAGGCTCCAGAGCAGGGCCAGGCCCCAGATAAGCAGCCCCTTCCACTCCGAGTTCAAAGAGGGGTCTTCGCTGAACTCTTGGAGGTCAGCCTGAGCTTAAGGGAGAAGCCTGGGTGGAATGGGGGCGGGGTGCCTGGGAGGGGTGTGGGGCCGGGGTTTCTAAGATTGATGACTTAGTGTGCAGGAGAGGGGCAGCGAAAGAGACCTCAGGAACCGGCTTCCCCACTTCTCCCTGCCACACACCAGGAAGGACGTTTGTAGAACTGGGACCATCCTGTCCCACGGCCAGTCCCCTAAAGTCAGTTACCCCCCGCTGAGGAAGCTGAGGAATCTGTGGCACAGATCGTTATGAAGAGCCAATGTCCCCCAAATAATCTCTTGGGGGTTCGGACTGCATTCTGGGATACCTGTAGAGGTGGAGGGTGGGATGGCTCCCACCAGAATTCCGTCGGGCTTTGCCTGTATTGAAGATTGGCAGGCAGATTGGGTTGGAGTTTTAAAAGCTGAGGTAACCCAGAGGCAGCTGTGTTGACTCCCTCCCCCACCCCCTCCCTTGGAGTCCCCCGACCCGTGTTTACTCTCTCTGGGTGGGGCCAGGCTAAGGCAGCCTGCCTGAGGCTGTCTCCTTTGCAGCTCCCTACCCATGAAGCCCAGTGATGAAGATCTGCTGAAGGACTTACTGATTCAAGAGCTGCTGGCCTGGATGGTGGATCACACGGAGCTCTGCAGGCTCAGGTGGCAGAGGTGGGAGGCTTTGGGAGTCTTGCGTACTGTTGTAAGCTTGAGTATTGGGGTCCGACACAGGTTCAAATCTTCATCCCAACATATGCTGGCCAATTCTCAGACTCTCTGAACTTCGTTGTTTTCATGAAAATCGGGACTATTTAAACCACTTCATGGGGCTGCTGTGGGTTTTAAGTAAGAGAACGTAAGGGAAAAGTTGAGAGCAACCTCTGTAGGTAGTAAGAGTTCAGTGATGGTGGCAGCTACTGTTACTGCTTGCCCTCCTTTCTCAACCTCCTCCAAGTGATGCTGCTCTCCCCTCCCCTGCCCACCCCAGCTGACCTGCCCATCCTACTCTCCGCTCTCCCTCTGTACCCTTGCGCCGTGGCACCTTCCCAGTGATGGAGCCCCTATAGTGGGGGGCATGGTGCCCTTCTCCGTAGCTGCTGCTGGTCTCAGTGGTCCTTGCATCCATATCACTATTAGGAAGTCCCTCAACCTATTATGTCCTAGAAGAAAGGGACAGCTGAACACCATGGAGAGACCCATCCACCTAGAGCAGTGATGGCGAACCTTTTGAGCTCGGCGTGTCAGCATTTTGAAAAACCCTAACTTAACTCTGGTGCCGTGTCACATATAGAAATTTTTTGATCTTTGCAACCATAGTAAAACAAAGAGTTATATTTTTGGTATTTATTTTATATATTTAAATGCCATTTAACAAAGAAAAATCAACCAAAAAAATGAGTTCGCGTGTCACCTCTGATACGCGTGTCATAGGTTCGCCATCACTGACCTAAAGGGTGAGACAGGACACTCATTCCAAGTGCAGACACGCAGGCACAGAAACCAAAGGACATTTAGACCAGTGGTCGCCAACCTTTCGGACCTCGTGGACCACTGTCCACCGGCTGGTGACCGCTGGTTTGGACTTCCATGCTGGGGGGCGAGGGAAGGACTGAGGGGACAAATGCGGGAGGACTCCCTTAGGAGGATAAGGGGGAGAGGAATGTGACCGCAGCTATAGAGAAGAGGGGGTGAGAACATGTCCGTGGGGCGGTGGGCAACAGGCTCCGTGCTTTCTGAACCATTTTGATTATTTATAATCAAAAAGGTACTTGGGAGGGAGGAACAGGTGAACTATGGCTGGGTGCCAGGATAAATTTACTCTGCTGACTCCAAGCTGATAACCACCCTCCTCCCTACCCTCTCTACTCTCCACAGGTTTCAGTGACTCTGACTAAACCCAGCTCAGGACTGGACTCTGCCCCTCCCTGACTCAGCTCCTGGGTACCCGAGACGAGCCAAACCAATAAAGTTTAAGCTGAAATAAATCTCTGTGCCCATTGTCAAAATATATTCAAATGTCTACTGAGCACCGACAGTGTATGCTTGTCTGTGTGCCGCGCACCGCCCAAGAAAAAGAAGCTATGGCTCTGACCCACCTGTTAATTCATCTATTTATTCTACAAACACTTATGGGAAACTTAACATTAGCAGGGTTGTGCTCAACAAGGGTCTACAGCAGGGGTCCTCAAACTACGGCCCGTGGGCCACATGCAAATACAAATATTGTATTTGTTCCCGTTTTGGTTTTTTACTTCAAAATAAGATATGTGCAGTGTGCATAGGAATTTGTTCATAGTTTTTTTTTAGACTATAGTCTGGCCCTCCAACGGTCTGAGGGACAGTGAACTGGCCCCCTGTTTAAAAAGTTTGAGGACCCCTGGTCTACAGCAATGAGGGAAACAGATACGGTCCTTGTCCCCGTGAGGGGTTTACAGTCTAGTGAGGAAGACAGACCTTAATCTTTAAACACACTAACACAACAATCACGTAGCATGCTGTTCTGTGAGGTGAGGTTGCTAGGAGAGGACAGAGGAACCTTATCTAGGTGGAGTCAGGAGGGCCTCTTGGAGAAAATGACATTTAAGCTGAATAAGACCAAGGATGGGTGGGGCCTTCATATTAGCCAATTAGTACAGCAACGTGGGCAATGGGAGGGAGAGGACAAGCAGGTCTCGGCAGGTGGGTGGAGGCAGGGCCTGAAGGACCACGTTAAAGCTTTTGGATTTTATCCTCAGTGCAGGGATAGGTCCGAGAAGGATTTTAAACAGGGTCAGGTCACAGAGGATCTATTTGCATCCCCAAACGATCACACTGATGAAAGTAAGAGTTATATTGAGATGAACAGGAATGAAAGGGGAAGAGGAAGACCGGTAAAGAGGCTCTTGCAGGATTCCAGGTTTATACTAGGGTGGTGGGCGGGGGGGGGGGGGGGGGGGGGTGGTGGCAAAATGGGCAAACTCAATTTACCCAAAAGTCAGTACCTTTATCTCCCGTGTTCAGAGCCTTCCCCACCTCAGCCTGCCGCCGTCTCCAATGCCCTCCGTCCACAGATATGATATACCTTCTCTCCCTCGCTTGGGTCACCTTTTCCTGGAATGTCCTCCTCGATCTAGTCATAGTTCAGTAGACCAGAGGCAAACACACCGAGATTCAAAGCACTTACCAGCTCTGTGAGTTAGCAAGTTAGTTTCTCTCTGAAACTCAGTTTCCTGTCTGTAAAAAAGATGGAAAGGTATCCACCCAAATAGGGTTAAAGTAAGTGTTAAGATCATGCCTGGCACAAAGTAAGTGGTCCATAAAAGTTAACTTTTGTTATTGTTACGCACACACCTAAGCCTTCGTTTAAAGGGTATTAATTTAAATCAGGGAGTGGCGAGCCGGATGGCTAAAGGTCTGGGGCAGTAACAAATGAGCAAAGAGAGGAGGGTGTAAGACAGTGATGGCGAACCTATGACACGCGTGTCAGAGGTGACACGCGAACTCATTTTTTTGGTTGATTTTTCTTTGTTAAATGGCATTTAAATATATAAAATACATATAAAAATATAAGTCTTTGTTTTACTATGGTTGCAAAGATCAAAAAATTTCTATATGTGACGCGGCACCAGAGTTAAGTTAGGGTTTTTCAAAATGCTGACACGCCGAGCTCAAAAGGTTCGCCATCACTGGTTAAGACAACAGCAAGGATGGGGACTGTGAAAATGGAAGAGACACGTTCGCCTAAAATCTTTCTGGTGCCAAACAAAACTCTTTTGAGAGCTGAATTTGCCTGAGCACTGCTAGTTTAGTTTGCTATCTCGCCCATATTTGGTTTCCGCTCCTCTATAAACTCCTGAGGTCCCAAGAATGTGTACCACCCAATTTAGAGCATGCCTTTGTTCAGAGGATGTATTTTAGTGGTTCTCGGTGATAGTATTGATTGTCTTGGGGAGAAGTTTGGATCTATATTTCTGAATTCTTGGGTGTCTCTTGGAATCAGTACATCAGAAAGGGTTATTTTAAAATATTTTATGCAATGTTCTTGCTATGGGGCAGGCATTGTGCGCAGTCTCCTATAAACATTTTTTCAACTTTTTAAAATTTTTTATTCTTTTTAAAAAATTATTTATTTATTTACCTATTTTAGAGAGAGAGAAAGAGAGGGAGGGAGAGAGAGAAAAATCATTTTGTTGCTCTGCGTATTTATGCATTCATTGGTTGAGTCTTGTAAATACCCTGACCGGGGATCGAACTCACAACCTAGGCTGACACTAACCAACTGAGCTACTCAGTCAGGGCTGTAGTTTTTTTAATTATTATTATTTTGTTGTTGTTCAAATTTATAAACATCATTTGAAAAAGTCATGATGATCTCATTTAAAGCCTCATCACAACCCTTGAATACCGTAATAGCTGCTAACCATGCACTACACTGCCTCCATGAGGCCGGGAATTAAAAGCCTACGCTACTAGCCACCTTGCCACCAGGCCAGGGAGTCACTTAAAGCAGGTGAGGGCGTCTGTCACAATCAGTGTTCACGGTGTACTGTAGCCAAGTGCTTCTGAGAGCCACTGTTAAATGGTCAGGAATTTTGAGAGCAGGCTGTCAAACTACTGACAGCTTGAAATTGGCCCTGGTTAGAGGATTTGTGCCATGGCAATCGGCAAATACTATGTACATCAGAGCCCCCCTTCCCACTTGGAGAGGCTGTTAAACACCAGCATATTACTGGTCAGCATCCCTTCTCTAGAAGTATACGAATAAGGGAATAAGCATATCTGCTTGAGGATGGCAATGAGGTTTGTCAAGGGTCCACGTGCGTATCTAAAGGAGTGAATATGAATATGTGCATTTGAGGATATGAACAGTTAAATCTAAGGTCAAGGGTGTGAGTGAGGGGTCGGTGTGTGCACCTTCAGGGGTCATACAGTGTGAGTCAAGAAGTGATAAATGAGTCTGGCTGATTTTTCTCAATGGTTAGGGTCCTGGTTGCAGGCTCCATCCCCGGCACATGCGGGAGGCAACCCATAGATGGTTTTCTCCCACATCCTTGTTTTCTCTCTCTCTCTCTCTCTCTCTCTCTCCCTCCCTCCCTCCCTCCCTCTCCCTCTCCTTCCTCCCCTCCCCTCTCTTTAAAAAAAAAAAATCAATGGAAAAAATATCCTTGGGTGAGGATTAAAAAAAAGTGATAAATGAAGCAGGTGTGTCTAGCTGGTGGCAATGGGTACCTAAAGGACCAAGTTTTTGTGTTAGGGAAATGAGTAGGAAAATGAGGATATGAGGTCAGTGTATCAGTTTGGGACTAGTGTGTTTTTCACAGAAAAGGGTGGGTAGGTATATTGGAGGTCAGTGTGTGTGTGTGGTGGTGGGGGGGAGGGGGGGCTGAAAAAGCTAGTATCTGTTGAAGGGGACCAATATGTGTCTGAGAAAGGCTGTGCCTAAAGGGGCTTATGCTATCTAAGTTTAGTGTCTGAGGATGTGTATGAGAATGAATCTGAAAGATAATTACGAAAGGCTGATGATTGTTTTAGCCTTGGTCCGTGCATCCGTTAAGACTATTCTGCTTCAAATAACAGAAAAGCACAAAGTAACAGTGGCTTTAGCAAGATAGAAAATTATCTCTTTCTTGTAAACAGCTCAAGGCAGGCAGTCCGGGGCTGGTGTAACAACTCTGCCCCATGAAACCCGCAGGGACCCAGGCTCATAGGACCCACGGCTCCATCATCTCTTAAGGCTGCCAACGGCAACTAAACACCTTGCTACCCATCTCTGCGCCATCCTCTTATCCTTTTACTAGAAACCCCTCTAATGACATCATTCACTTTGGTTTCACCGGGATCTGATTCCCAGCCCAACTTATTTCTGCAGAGCTTCATACAGAAATAACAACTGGCCACCTCTCCTGTGATGGCCCGACGACCTCAACTTCTACATGTTCAAAACTACTTTTTTTTTTTTAAATATATTTTATTGATTTTTTACAGAGAGGAAGGGAGAGAGATAGAGAGTTAGAAACATCGATCAACCGCCTCCTGCACACCCCCCACCGGGGATGCGCCCACAACCCAGGCACATGCCCCTGACCGGAATCGAACCCGAGACCCTTCAGTCCGCAGGCCGACGCTCTATCCACTGAGCCAAACCGGTTTCGGCCAAAACTACTCTTACTAGTACTTATTGCCCCAACTTCATGCTGGGGACCCCCCTCCCCCCCTGTGGCACCGCCCCTGGTGCTCAAGCCAGAAAACTGAGCATCCTGCTCACTTCCCCCACCTACTCTGGCCCCATCTTGTCAGTCTTACCATGTCACCTTCTTCCCATCTCCTGAATGTGTCCCATTCTCTCTACCTTTATTGCCACCATCTTAGTTCTGGGCCCCATCATTTCTGGTTTATTTGGCAGAAACAGACTTAAGTCTAGGTCGCCACTACTTTTCCTAAGACCAAAATTTGATCTTCTTAACTCACTGACGTAAGAATCCTCCATATTAACTCCTTTGTTAGACTCAATAACCCCTATGGGGGTGGGGGATCACCTAGGGAGTTCCCTAAACACACGGGTGACTAACGCCCCTTTTACTAACTTTGCTGACTACCCATCACAGCGGATACTTAACTGATGCGCCGGGCATTGCACTAAATGCTTTGCTAACACGCTTTCTGAATCAATCTTCACAACAACTTCACGAGTGGGTGTCATTTACACAACCGTGGAAACGGCAACACGAGAGAGAGAATCTGCTTAGAGGTCCTGGACCACACGCAACGGAAGTTAGCTACGGAGCCAGCAATCCGATTCCAGAGTCCAACTTCCTGACCGCCAGGCCTGCGCCGGCCAGAACGCGCGTGCCTCCCACGGGCAAGCCCCGCTCGCCTGGAATGGACTCCGCTTTGTGCTCTGTCTGG